TCGTCTCCGCTAAATCCCTCTTGCCTCCCACAGCTTTCTCTCCCTCCTCCTCCGCCTCGTCCTTCTCCCGCTCCCACCACAAGGAGGATGTACAAGGAGGCGGGAGGAAGGAGGAACAGGGGAGATATGCGGGGGCAGGCGGAACCACGCTTGAAAAACACGACTGTTGGCATGCTTCGCAAGACTTGCTGTCTTGAGATGGGCTGGTGGGGATACGCGAAGCGTGAAGAATAAATACAATGCGTATCCATGCAGCGGGCCACTCAAGATCCTTCTCAACGGCACCTATAATATCACATAGGATGACAAATGCTTCATCAGGAAGAAGAAGAAACAAACGAGGAGCACACTTATCAAACCCAGCCCCAGCAGTGGCTTTGAAGGACCTGAGAACCCTTTCAAATAGCCAACTGTGGGAGGTGGAGGTGGCTCTCCAAGCTCTGGGGGGCCATTCGAGAACTGGATGATAATGTGATAGTTGCCACCATGTTTCCCACTCGGCCTGCAGTGCCCGCATCTGTTCTCGCGAAGTGGCTCGCCTAAGCGTGGAATGTTCCATGCATGCAGGTTGCCAGGGCGTGCGCAAGGCCGAGAACGAGTACAAAGCGGACGCGCCATTGGTCGAGTGTTTCTCGATCCATCGATGCCATTCAATCTCTTTGGATTTGGCAACTCTGTTGGCCTCGGCATCGGCCGTTTGTCTCGACCAGAGTTTGCACGACTGGCGTTGGCAAAGGTCGCGCCTTCCACACCAATCGCGACCAAGCCCAGCTCCGCCTTCCACAACAGTCGCGACCAAGCCCAGCTCCTCCTCCTTTTCATCCTCTTCCTCCTCCTCCTCCTCCTCCTCCTCCTCCTCCTCCTCCTCCTCCTCCTCCTCCTCCTCCTCCTCCTCCTCCTCCCCTCCTCCTCCTCCTCCTCCTCCTCCTCCTCCTCCTCCTCCTCCTCCCTCCCCTCCTCCCCCCTCCCCTACCTCCTCATCGTCTCGTCATCGTCCTCCTCGTCCTCCTCGTCCTCCTCGTCTCACTCGTCCTCGTCTCATCTCCTCTTCTCTTCCCTCCTCCTCTCTCGTCTCCCCCTCCTCTCGTCCTCCTCCTCCTCCTCTCTCTCCCCTCCTCCTCCTCCTCCCTCTCCTCTTCCTCTCCTCCTCCTCCCTCCCCCCTCCTCTCCCCCCTCCCCCTCCCCCTCCCCATCCTCCCCTATCCTCCTCCTCCTCCTCCTCGTCCTCCTCCTCCTCGTCCTCCTCCTCCTCCTCCTCCTCGTCCTCCTCCTCCTCCGCCTCCTCCTCTAGCGCTGGTTAGCGCGACGACGGCGGCATTTTCGGGTTTCACCTTGGCTTGGTTTGCGAGCATGGCGCTGTGTCACTTGGTCCGATGCTGGGGCGCAAGAAAGTAAAAAAACACAATTCAAACATTTAATGAACGTGGCATTTTTATTCGGAGGATTCGAGAACAAACAAGACACCGTCAAAGACCAAAAACGTTTGCACGGCTTGTTATATGTAAACGCGCCATTTGTTCTCATAGTTATGTTGCAATGTTGCGACATGTTCGATGTTGCACGGGTGCCGCGCTGTTCGACCGTGGTTTAAACGCTTGAATGAGAATGCAAAAGAACTGTAGTACCGATGCTAATTAATACAATAGTATTGCGGCATGCTCACCAAACCGCGTGGTAGAGCTTCCGAACCCTCACGGTCAGAACCATTAGAGGAACGGGGCGTTCTCGTGCTGGAGCACATTTGAAACACACAACATACATTACCATTTTTGGCACCACATTCACAACAAAACGAACGCACCGGTTGATAATTTACGAAGACTCTGGATGTGCAAATGATTCCGGTATCAATAATTTACTGCGCTGTGCGCGCGACCCCTCGGGCTTACGATGATGCTACTTTGGCGACATTTCTGGTCAATCTTCAATATTCAAGCTGCTTTGTCCTGTACTCGTTGGTTTGGTTTTCGGTTTGTTCAACCATGTACGGTTTGTCCTTGCGAATGATCTACTGCAGCGTGCTGTACCGCGGCGTGCACGTACGATAAGGCCCGATCTGCACGGACACGCGCGCTTGGTAAACGCAATTCACATCATATTGCATTCGCGACAGAAGAATGGTGGCGGCTTGACGCCAAATCTTTGAGGAAGCCGACGGAAGTATTCTGGATACAAACGTCAAGCGCCTACTCGCACGCATTAACATCCCTGTGTCGCCTGCGGATCCCCTCAACTTAGATCTTGCAATTCCAAGACTTACTGTGCATTGAGAGATTCCGCTGTTTTGCGGCGTGACTATTGTCAGCCCCATTACAAGGAATGGACAAAACAAATGAGACTAAACAGAAAAACGACGGGAACTACCACGAAGTATGGGGGAGTGGATTGGGATCTCTACTATGCTTGGGCTCAGAAATCTGTGGCCGACGGGGAGCCCAACATATACAAATGTTGTCCCAACCCTCCTTGGTTGGGTATCCGTTTTGAATAGAACACTGCGGTCTCCAGTCCTCTTCCTCCTCCTCCTCTTCCTCTTCCCGCCTCCCGCTTCCGTCTTGTCTCCTCTTGCCTTGCGCGTGCCTCGCGTGTGTGTGTGTGTGTGTGTGTGTGTGTGTGTTTGTGTGTGTGTGTGTGTGTGTGTGTGTGTGTGTGCGTGTGCATGGCTGCGATATTTCTTGTGTGTGCATCTGGCCAAAGGGACTGCATCTGCGACACTGTCACCACTTTCGCGGGCTGCTGGTGGGTCCTGCGGAAGGAGACACCGCAAGGATCTGACAAAGACCTCGCCGTCCATGGGGGGTTGCGATCTGCGACACTGTCACCATTTTCGAAGGCTGCTGGCGGGTCCTGCGGAGTGAGGCACCGCGGGGATCTGAGCAAGACCCCGCCGTCCCATAGGGGCTGCGATCTGCGACACTGTCGCCACTTTCGAGGTCTGCTGGTGGGACCTGCGGAGTGAGGCACCGCAGGGATCTGAGCGAGACCTCGCCGTCCCTGGAGGGCTGCGATCTGCGACACTGTCACCACTTTCGAGGGCTGCTGGTGGGACCTGCGGAGTGAAGCACCGCGGGGATCTGAGCGAGACCTCGCCGTCCCATGGGGGCTGCGATCTGCGACACTGTCGCCACTTTCGAGGGCTGTTGGTGGGTCCTGCGGAGTGAGGCGCCGCGGGGATCTGAGCGAGACCTCGCCGCCCCTGGGGCCACGAAAAGCTACATCGGGGCCACGAGAGTGCTACGGAAGGCGACCGCGGGGCCACGTACGGCATCGAGTGCCTCAAATAGTGGGGCCACGAAAGGCATCGAGGAGGCCACGAAAGCAGCGGCGTGGCGAAAGCAGCGGCGTGGCCTTCAAATCCGACCGCCGTATCGCGAGAGGCAGTGAGGGGCATCGGAACGGGCGAACAGCGACGAGGGGCGACTCCGGGCCTTACCAGGCGGGTCAGGCGGGCGGACCCTGACGTGCGGGTCGAGCGGGTGGGTCGCGAATACGCGAGCGCTGCCTAATTCGCCAGGACGTCTCGGGCGAGAGCGCGATTCACCAGTAAACTGTAAACAAGTCCAAAGCGAGAGCGCAATTCCTGAATGGCGAGAGCGAGGCGCCTTGGTAAAGTGCAGGGCGAGAGCGCGATTTTTTCGTAAACTGCGAGGAAGTGTCAAGCGGGAGCGGGGGGTCCAGTTGAACATTATTAATTCTAAAGAATAATTATTGTTGGGACCCCTGGTGCACGGCCCCCCTGCGCCGCCTAGGCCGCAGCTACATTTTCATCATTTTCGTGAGGAAGCCTCAGGTAATTCGATGTGATCAAGATCCGGTTGTTTTGTTCCCCCCCGCTTTCCCTTGCAAAAAACACTATAAAATGACATTTCTTGTTCTAATATAATCAAATTTCAAGAATCCCTTGCAAAAAATAAGGTAAAGTGGACATTCGCGCGCGCAAGACGAAATCCTTCCAAAAGCTTAGTGTTCGGAGCGATTTTAACATAAAAACATCAAAAAAACCAATGGTTTTTCAACAAAAAAATGTCAAAATCTCATCCCGCGCGCTCTTGCGGATTCGTAGGAAAACCAACACTTTTTAAACATTTCTGTCAAACGGGCTTTTGCGAGCAACTTTTTCGAACTTCTGCGACAACGGTTGCGCACCTGCCAGGGCCATCATCCCTGTCAAATAATACCATCCGCGCATGTGCCCAGCATGGCACAATTGCACCATGCTGGGCACATGCGCGCCCCGAATAAGTGACCAAGTTCTGTGGGTGTGTACCCCACGCCAGTGTAGTAGCCACGGTCGTCCGCACGCCACGAAGTGAAGTGTCCCAACGTCATAGGGCGGGAAGCTGGGTTTGGGTGGTCGCGAAGAGTCGTTTGGATATTTGGTAGAGCTTGTAATGCCCCCCCACGAAGTGGGGGTATTGCCTGGTGTCGTATGAAAACCCTGGCACTGGGGAGAACACCACGCGTTCGGGTAAAATGATTGTGGTTGTTGTTGTTGTTGTTGTTGTTGTTGTTGTTGTAGTTCGGGGGCCGGGGGTCCAGTTGGAGCCTCACGACGATCCACGGTGAAAAAGGGTGCGAGGCCCGGGAGGGGTAATTCGATTCAAAAAGTAACATGTGTGCCGGAGGGGGAGTCAAACAATAATTATTCTTCAATTCGTCGAATTCAACAATAATCAGTTCAAGACTGTTCGCTCTTATTTGCATAAACATGCACTTTTTACGGTTTCTTGGACCTGAGCTGGACCCCTTCTCCCCGGCGCGCGGAACGCGCCAGGGGCGGCGCTGGAGGCGCCGTCAGGGGGCGCGCAGCGCGGATCCGAGAGATCGCGCGGAGCGCCCAAAGTTCATGCTTATGGCGTTTTGCCTTCTTCGGCGATCGGCAAAGCATCGAATCGAGTGAGAAAACGACGACCAGCTCGACGTGGAAACCCAGCTGCTCCGACAGCGACGACGCAGCGCCTTTTCCGCGCCGGCTTCGGAGGTACAATGCCGAAACTCCGCCGCCCGGGGCACCTGTACGGGCACCTGCACTGAGGTGTGGCCCAAGCGCTCCTCGGAGGTTTGGACACGTGCACCAACACCAACACGGGGGGGGTTTGCCTCCACCAGGGGAAGATGATCCTACAGTGCGGGCCCATGCCAACAAACACCCTGCTTGCCTCCAGGGTGCCCTGGGTTTTTTGAGTTGCGATGGATTTGCAATGAACAGCGTGACGTTCCCACACCAAGAATCGATGGACTTCCTGGGGTCTCAGGGTTGGGTTTTTTGTGGAAGGCTTCTTGTGGTCGGGCCCCTACTGACGATGTTGGTGTTAGTGGTAATCTTGCAGTCACCGAAAGAAACACGAATATTACCGACATCGCCAAGATCAGGATCATCTTCACTCGGTGGGGGCGCACCGCCGACATTGGTGCTGGTGTCAACCTCTAGGCCTCCGAGCTCCTACCAGGTATGCGCGAGACCGTGTATCAAAATTCTGCACCGCGCCTGTGCGCCGCTGCTTGAGGAAAGCACAACCCACCCCCACCCCTACAGTAAGGACCCCCACTCCCGACCTGGTGATCCAGGGGGTCCTTGCGGAGGGTGGGACTGGTGTTTTGGGGGCTTTTGGAGGGCAGGAGAACCACCCTCACCCCCCAGCCAAGATCCCCTGGATCACCAAATCGAGACGTGGGGAAACCAAAAGGTACCGACACCGCTACTCCCCGGACCTCTCCCGGGATGTGTTCTGACCACGACTGCGAGGCTAATGCCGCGGTGGCAACGAGGGCCTCCAAGGAGAGCCAAGAAGGGGAAAACGGGCAGAGAGTATCCCTATAGGTTCCTGTTCTCCTCCGATTCTGGCTGGGCGTGTGGGTTGTGCTGTCCTCGCTGCGCCCTGAGGGCACGGAGACGCCAGGGAGAGACAGTGCCACAGTAGGCTGTCTCGAAGGAGGGAGGCGGAGCGGGGCCAGACGGAGCACGGCCGACCTGCTCACGCTGCTTGCCTGGCGGCGGCAGCCCAAGGTTGACATCGGGGGGCGGCCAACATCTTTAGGAGGCAGCTGCTGGGAGGTCTTCGTCGGAAGGATGGAGGAGGATTGAACCCCATTGGGGGGCTACTACGCCACATTAGGCCGCGGATGAAACGGGATTAAGCCGGATGAGGCGGGATTGAGCCGGATGAAGCGGGATTAAGCCGGGTTGAGCCGGACTTCGGACCAGGGCGAATCAAACATTGACCTCCCAGGAATTGCATCCGAAGCATCTCCCTCCCAGCCACCATATGGGACGCACAGAAACATATTAAAACTGTGCGTCCTCCTTGGATGCGCGCGTCCGACCCGAACATAAAGCGTTCGCCAGCCCACCGGGCCAGAGGCGTGCTAAAATCTCCAGTAACAGGCGTGGAAGATTTCTAGTTCGCGCGCGTGCAGCCCCTGGGGGAGCCTGGCCGGTCTCTGGCAAGGTCCGGTCGGAGATGGTTCTGCTCCTGGGAGCCGCCCTCGGGGCTCCCCAAAATGCCCCAGGAAGGGCCACGAGGCCCCCAAAAGACCCCCAAGAAGGTCCCAGAGTCCTCCGAGACGCCACGAGGCCGCTCTAAAATGCACAAGATGGCCCCCAAACCGCCCAAGAGGCCTCCAAGACGCCCCGAGAAGCCTCCCAGAGTGCGCCCCAAGAGGCACAAATCATACATGTATCTGAAGTTGTTGACAAATGTTGAGCGCTTCTAATCGGTAGACTTGATTGAGGCTCGCAGGACATCCGCCGAAGAACTGCTGGCAAGGAGCCTCGGCAACATCTCCGGGAGTCTTCGAACAAACTTCCATCGCAGAAATCTCAAGGACACCGAGGCGAGGGATGGCCTTGGGTTGGTGGAAGAACTCTTGAGAATAAACAACAATGGTCGAAACGCTTACCACTCTCGCGCAGCACTTCCATGAACGCTTTTTCTAATCAGTAAACTTGCTTGAGGCTGGCAGGACATCCGCCGAGGACTGCTGGCAAGAGGCCTCGGCAAAATCTTAGAGTCCTCCATCACCCAAACAGCCCGTTACACAAACGGGTGCTGTACTCTGTATTTATATTGTAACCATCGTGCATGTGTTATTCGACGGGAACACGCATTGTGGAGAGAGGAGGCAAGGAGGGAACACAGTAGAGAGGGATATGCATTCTTCACCTTAGTCAAAAATAGCCCTGATGCCTGCTTGTGAGCTCAACATGGGGCCTGTTAGAGAACTGGCAGGAGCCACGCCCCTGGCAGGGTAGCAAGTCAATGGCTGGCTCGGGTTTGCGACGCCAGAATCTCAAGAGTGCGCGGCCTCGAAAAGGCAGACCGCAGGCACAGAAATCCACGACGCACTCAGTGAGAAATCCTGAATTCCACAATGCTTGGCGGTCTGGGCGCAGCCACAAAAAACTGTGCCAAGGATTCTCTTCCCCTCCAGGGATCCCTCTCGCAGTGCACAGACTTCGGATCATGCTCCCAATAGTCCTAAGACGGTTGGAACCTAAGAGCAGACGCTGATCCTTTTCAGAGAGCCCACGCAGACCCATGGGATACTCCGGGGATCTGATTGCGCGAGGCATCCTACTGTATAACGGGGCCGGCGGGCTCTGGAATAGCCCTCACATGGGGTTCCCAACCGCGCAGCCTTCACTCTTTGACTAGCTATCCGTCCACCAAGCACATGCCAGACCTCAGGAACTAGAAGGTTGAAGCACTCCATTTCTGACATCCCAGTCCATCACGGCTTCACCTCGGGCTCGGAGATGGCGGCGAAGCTCGCCAGTTCCCGAAAATATGTCAATCGCCACTTGTGACTGCCGTCCGCGGGGGGCCTGCAACGCTGCGCGATGCACTTCTCGAAGGCGCGCTCGATGCCAGCCGCGCGCCGGCGCAGCTGGCGCACGCGTGCCTCGCCAAGCTTCTGCTGCCCTAGGCCGACCCCCCCGTGCTTCTCGTGTCGGGCGACGCTCTTGAAGGCGCGCCGCCCGCCCCTCTGTTGGGCGTCCGCCAAGGTTCCGGCGGCCGCGCTGCGGTCGCGGCTGGCGCCCCCGCGGCGGAGGCAGCAGAGCGTGGCCCGCAACCCCGAGGCTCCAACAGCGTTCAAGGCTGTCCTGAAGCTCTTCTGGAGGGCCACGTACTCGAGCTCGAGCTGGCGCTTCTTGGGGCCGCGGCGCCGCACCAGCGCCCCCGCGCAACGGACAAGCCAGCGCTGCCGCAACGAGTCCAGCGGGGCGCTCACGTCGAAGGCGTTGGTCCTGGTTGGCACCAGCCCCTCTCGGGCCCTGATCACAAAGGTTACCCAGCGTGCCGCTCCAGACTCGCCCTCCAGCGGTAGCGCGACATGGTCGGCGCCGATTGCCAGCAACTCCGAGGGGCGCATGCACGTCTCGAACAAGATCGCCACGCCCAGCGCCGACGGCCTCCAGCCCCTACGCCGCGGCAGCTGCCACCAGCCGCGGCAAGAGCGGGCGCGACAACTCTGGGCGCTGCTGCACCCAGCCCCTCAGCGTCTGCTGCAGAACTGGGAACGACAGACGCAGGGGGCTCGCGCCGAGCTTCGGATCGCCCCGCGCGAGCGCCGAGCCCAACCTTCTGGGCGTCGCAGCCGCGCCGCCCTGGTCGAAGAGCCACTCTGCAAACTCGACCGCCGTCGCGCCCCACTCCTCGCGCGCCCAGGCGGAGAGGGGACCCGGGCGCAGCCGGGCCAGGACGGCCTTCAAGACCCCCAGGTGCACGCTCTGGGTCTTCACCCGCACCTTCTCCACCGCCAAGCGTGTCAGCCTGGGACAGGGCTGCAGCCGCTCGGCCTCCACCAACGCCCGCAGGTCGACGCGATCGGCGCGCGGCATGCGCAAGCTGCGCGGCTGCGCGCGCCCTGGCGTCGGCACCCTGGCAGCGGTGCGGCCGGGGGGAGGGGCTGACCGCCTGGCCGAGCGGGAGCGCGAGGACCTCGTGGCGGCCTGGCCTGAGCCTGAACTCCAGGTGGCAAGCCGCGCAGGCGTCTGCCCCGTCAGCGTCCGCATCAGCATGCACCGCCCCGCCAGGCGCGGGTGCCCCTCGCCGCTCGGACTTCTCATTGAGCCCAAGCGGCTGATACCGACGTGAGGCCTCGTCACTGGGGTTCCACTCTGACGGGGCCCAACGACTGTGCACTCTGATGTCTGCCGCAACACTGAATGCAACAACAATCCGGCAAGTCAAGAAGAGACGGCAATGAGAAGCTCCCCCTTTCGCGTGCGCTGGCGCACCTGACATGTTATCCCCGAGCACAAGGCGGCGCAGACCGCGGCGCCGTTCGCCCTTCGCCGCGCAACGCGCAGCCCAGCAGACTGCCGCAGCCCCCAGGCAGTGAATGGCCTCGCGGCGTCGCCAAAGGCCGCGCCCTACCACGCGCCACTCCGAGCCCGCCAACGCAGCGGGGCTCGCCTCAGGGAGCTCGGAGACGCGGCCGGCGAGCACCAGCGCGGCGTCTGGCGCCTGGGCCACCTCCGCCTCCAGCGCGCGGCCCCGCGGCGCTCCGGCAGCGGCGAGCGGCCCTCGAAAGCGGCTGCGCTCCGACAGCCCCCCACGCGCGTGCGCGTCTGCAGCCTCCCGCTCCGCCTCGACGACGCCGTGGCCCCCCCGGGGGCGCGTCGCGGGCGGTGGCGGTGGGCGACCACCGCTGGCGCACGTCGCCCGCGATGCAAGGCAACAGCGACCGCACCCAACGCAGCTCCGTCAGCGCACTGGGCCACAGCGGCTGTCGCTCAGCCCACGGCGCCTCTGCGTTGGCATAACAGGCGGAGAGCATTGCCAGCGACTCCCGCCGCGGCGCGCAGGCCGCCATGACGCGTCCCAGCAGTCGCTCCAGCTCAAGGCCTGTGACCTTCACCTCCTCAGGCCGCCTTGCTCCGAGCAGAAAACCCAGCGCTCCCACCAACCGCCAAAAACGCTTCGGGCGGACGCGCCACCTGCCAGCGCGCCCGTCCAGCTCGTAGCCCAGGAGCTCCCACTTCACTCCCGAGGTTGCGTCGATAGTGCTCGCCGCGCCTCGCTCTGCCAGCGCCTCCCGCATCGCGCGGACGGCGCTCTCGGCGCGCGCCCTTGGTCAACAGAGGCGACAGCAAAGTTGTCAATGTAGAGCAACTTCGCATCCTCCGAGCCGAGGTCGACCCGGGGCCGCTTGTCCAGAACCCAGCGCCCGCTGCTCAGCGCGACATCCATCGCGTGCAAGTGACCCTGCTGGATGAGATGCACAGCCCAGCTCCAGCCCGTCGGCATCGCACCGAACCTAAACTTCACCAGGCGAGCGTCGCGCGCCAATCAGAGGCGGCGCCGCAAGGACGCCGGCAGGAACTGGGCCTTCAGCGCGGAGAAAGGACACATCTGAGCCAGGGTGGCAGCTGAAGCCGACCAGATCATCGGGGTGCTGCTCAATGGCTGTAAGGGCCTCGGGACTTGCCAGCTCGGTATAGCTAGGCTTACCAAAAAAAAAACATATACATTCGCAGCACCTGCGTCGGCGATCAAGCGCAGCTTGTCATTTTTTTGCGTTGCGCGAAGAAACATGACTCTCCTATCTGGCGCCTCTGGGGCCCAACTCGATCACGCCCGCGTCGAACAGCTCGAACAGGGCGCGACCGAAGTCATGGCCCTTCCTCGCCAGTTTCGGGTCAAGGTAGCGAAGCTTCTCAGTATAAGATCCAGACATCGAGGCGACCTCAGATGGATCGCGCAGAAGTCCATGGCCAGTCTCCAGCATCGAGCGCAGCGTGTCGGGGAGGATCGCATCCGGCTTCGCCTTCCCAGCGCCGCCACCAGGCAAGGACATCCTGCCTGACTGGTAGGCCGCCCTGCCACCTTCCGACTCTGACTCGGAATAGCCAGGCCGGGGCCCCGGCAACGGCGCCCACGCCGCGCCGCAAGTGAATCGCGGTGCTCACCTGGAAAGCTCGCCGACCCGTGCAAGCCCGCGAGGCGACGTAAGCTGCGCTTTAGGCCACTGTCAGCACCGCG